TATTGAAAATAAATAAAGCCTAAAATTATTTTCATGTGCTTCCTCATTTGAGCAAAAATATTTTCTGTTTATTTATATTCATCTCCTCCTACTCTTCATCTGGAGTGCAATGAATCCTAAGCTGTAGACAGCTTTAAATTGTTGTGTCCTAAGCTCAGCTCCATCCACTCTTCATCTGGAGTGCAATGAATCCTATGCTTTAGGCATCTTGTGACCCCGAGAAGGTCACTTGGTGCCACTTTGTAATCCAGGTGAAGCTGATGCTGTCCTTTGCAGCTCAACTTTGACAAAATGATGCGCGCCCGAAACTTTGCCAGGTTCCTTAGTTGGAATATCCAAAACTCTGCGACACACCACATGAATATAAATCCAGACGCCGGTTTGCAGTCAGACTGTGGCTCATTATGAATAACCGCGCGCTGTGACAGACAGACGGACAGACAGGCAGACACACACACACGATAATATTTTCTATGCATGACGAGCTCGATTTTCTTTTCATTCGCATTTTCATTTCGTTTTCATTTTGGTAATAGTGCCACTCGTTTACTTGACAATTTTCCTGTGAACTAGCTACAATTTTTCTTCGTCAGGCTGCGCTGGCAAAGGTGGGGGAGCTAAGGATGCAGCGGCAGCCAGGACCTCAGCGAACTTGGCTCTGGCTGCGGCTGCCAGCTAGCAGCGAGTGAAAAGATTTTCACAGAGACACAAACAACACACAGACAGGAACAACAAGGCACTTGCTGGGGCAGGAAGTTAAGCAGGAAACAGGAAAAGTAAGTTCCACCATTTTTGTGTGTTACGTGACGTCTTTCTCTCGAGACGTCACAAGATTTATTGTATGCAAGTTATGTGGCTGTATGTATTGTTGCCACAACTGTACACTCAGTGTGCATGTGTGTGCGTGTGTGTGTGTGTGTGCAAAAATATGCAAATCGGTTTTGCACTGCTGACGACTTCTTCACAGCAGCTGAAATGTGCTTAAAATTCGCAAAATTGTAGTTCATTTTTAGCTGCTGTCGATATTGTCGTATGCTCTAGCAAACGGGTATTATGATTTCAGCATTAAATATGTAACGCATTAAAAAAATACATCAAAATAAAAGATAATTCATTTGAATAGGAAATGCATAATGCAATTCTGTTATAGAATTAGAAACTATCGAAATGTTCAATTGAGGGCATAGATAAATCCTATAATCTTAATAATTCAGTCCGCCTATTGGACTGGATCACAGGGTTATATATGTTAAGAGTCGAATCTTGGAAAATTGTGTGATTTTGTTAAAATATATGGTACATATATTTTGTTTCTGCATATATTTTCAGCACTTTAGAAGATCGAATAACTTACGAGTTCTTTCTTTAAGGCATTTCAATGTAATTCAGCAGCCATGAATTTCTATATATTTTATATAATTAAAACTAAAATCTTAATCTTTTGAATCTATTTAAATTCATTTAATTATTATGTCTACAAGGGTATTTAATCGTTTCGGCATTATCAAAAGGTTTTTGATATTCTTTTACTTTGCCGTCGCAGCTCGACAATTGTCCTGTGCGCAGTTCTTGTTGCTGTGTGTGTGTGTGTGTGTGTGTGTGTGTGTGTGTAGGGGATTACGTGGATTTGTTATTGCACTTTGCATATTTTCACCTGGCTACGTGTATTTGATTTGACTTTATATCCCATTGCACCCGTTAGCCAACCCCAACCCATTTTCTCACCTGTGATCAATTTAAATGCACTTTTCACGACTTGATTTTAGCTTTTTGTTTTGCATTCTGCTTTTCTATTCCTTTTTACGCAATTTTGAGTGCCTTTTGCTTTTGTTTATGCTCGTGTCAGGTACATAAAATTGCCGTCAAAATGCAAACACAAAAATTACCCAACGCGTTCATCCTTTACACTATCTATTCTAAAGGACATTTACAGCGGCTGCTCGATTGGGCGCTACGGCAGTATCGTGATATTTAACTGGATGTTAATTTGTATTAATTTATGCACATTTATTTAAATATCATTTTCTTAATATTTTTCAAGTTATATTTTATATACTAGTCAAAAGAAACATAGGAGTAAGTCTTTTTTAAATATTTATGAAAATTTACTAAAAGTTCTAAAATATTCTCAAAGTGCAATTGTGAGTTTTGCATTAACCTTACAAGGCAAAAAATGGTTTCAAATTTATTTTAGATAGAAATAAGACTGAATCAGAGATTCTTTAAAAGGAATCTTAACGTAATTCAGTTTCTGTATTTATGTACAAAATGTTCTGTTTTAGAGTATTTAGGGATTGGCTTGACAAAAACTCTATCATTTGTATTATTTTCAATTTTCTTTTGCCCTTTTACGTGGCACTGCAAATGGCAGCTCTTTTGGCTAAAACCATTCAGGTAGCTGCCAGGATTTCTAAAAATCTTGCATCTCGGCCTTAAAAAAATCAGCCTTTCTGTTTGCGAACCGCTTGATAGAAAATTAAAAAGGTTGCGCTATAAAAAATTAAAATTAATTTCGTGACGCTTGACCAGAACGGGAGCGAAAAAAAAAATACACCCACGAGAGCGAAAGGTAACGACTGCTAGATGCTCTGTTCGCAGTTTCCAGCGGGAGAATGATTCTTATTAGGCAGAAGAAGGCCGACAGATTTTCTAAAGTCCACAGTTATCTGTCCATATACATCATATATCATTATCAGATATCATAACTTTGTTTGAGTTCAAGGAAAACAAACGATAGTCTCGATACTCTCGATAAAATGTGTATTGAACAGCACGAAGCCAATATACCCCATTGGCTCTTAAAAACAGATCATAGAAAACAAACGTTTGCCCGACTGAAAATCAATTGGATCACAGTTTGGAGCAGAGTAAAAGGCTCAAGCATAAAAGTGCTTTAAGCCCGAGCATGATTTGCTGTCATTTTACGAGATTTGACGCGTGTTTTAAATACTTATTATAAATAATATTTTACAAGGCCGCAGGATTTTGTGGCGGCAGAACTTTTGACCAAAACCCCGAACTTAAACAGACAAATTGCAAAAGTGGACGAGCAAAGTGCAGCGCCACAGCGCCAGCTGCCTGACTGCAAACACATCCAAAAACCGCAACAGCCACTTCCGCGAGTGCCTGCCACATAACGCCAAGCCCCCATCCCGCGGGGGGCTGGCCAACAAAAAAAAAAGACACTGCAGCAAAAATGTTAAAAACAGGCGTTAAGCACACAACAAGCACATGTGTGTGTGTGTGTGTGTGTGTGTGTTCGGGACAAGCGCCTAAATGCAGCTTAGCATTTTAAGCGCTTTTCAAATGCGCGCTGGGGGAATATTTTCGGTGGCTGGTTAAATTTTGTGGGGGTTGCCGGCGTTGCCGTTGCCGGGCGTTTATTTTGGCTATGAAAACGTTTGCCACACGTTGCCCTGGATATACGCATGGGTAACAGGGGACAGCACGGAGGAGGTTGTGGCAACTTGGGAGCTTGGCAAAGTTAATGTAACGCTAGTGTTAATTTTGCTGCTAAACTGCAGGCAGGCGACAGGTTCATTTTCATTTTCAGTTTTCGCTTTTATTTATTTGCCGCAGGGCATAGTTGTTGCCGCCTTTTTTGGCTGCCACATTTTGTTGCCTGCTTTGTGGCCGAGATAACAGATCGCCTTCGGCTTAACTGAATGCTCTAATGAACTATAAAGAGAACGTTCGAAGCAATCGACAGGCGCGCGTTGAGAGAGACAGAACAAACAACTATTTAAATGGCAGACCCAACTAAAGTGGGAAGCATGACAGGGTACTGACGCGTATATGCTGAGATGGGAAAAACAATAGGGCATGTGTGAGAGCAAATGAAAGAAACGCCACTTACTCTGCGCTAAAGCAAGTCGAGCTCATTAACAATTTTAATGCACTGAACCCATGGAAAATCGTTAAAAAGAATTTCAGAGTTTTGTGCAAATTTATGAAACTTGCATTCTTATATATGCTTGATGACATCAATAGCCGACTTTATTTAGCCACGCACATTTATCTGTCTTTCCGTCACCTTTCCCGACTTCATCTGTCTTACTTGTTTTGTGTGATTATATAGATGTGTATAGTATGTGGCTATAAAAGATGTTGGAAGCAGTTTCTCGTAGAATATCGCTGTTAAGATACCTACTCAACTATTTTGCAGAGATATTGCCTTGAACTCTGCCTGCTTTCAGGCCATCTCCCTTACTTGCTTACTTGCCCCCTCCTACTTTCTTGTAGGAAGTATATCCTTCGACCAAGAACACATTATGTTCGCCGACTAGCGCGCGATTCGAACTGCCAACATTTGTGTTCACAGCTGGCTCAATGATTGTCTCAATTAGACACAGCTCATCTAGCAAAGACTGACTGCTGCGAAGATTGTTTCTTCATAAACCAGGTCAAATGAATAACTACAACTATTGCTATCAACATTTCTGAAATGTGTCCAAAATTGAACATATCAAATGCAGCTGGCATATGAAAAGTGCCCAGATAATTTAAGTGTGTGACAATGGTGCACTGAAAGGGCAAACATTTATATGCCAATTTGTAGAGAAGTGTGTGGCGCACTACTCGAGCAGTTGACCCTCTTGGCAAAAGAAAAAGAAACACGGGAAAAGAATGTTAGAGCCCTGGCTTAGCTCTTCAGTCACAGTCAGAGCTTAGCATATTTCTTGTTGGATGTTGCTAAATTGTAAAATAAATCAAAATCAAAACCAACGACCCTCAAGCCAGCTGCCAAGCAAAGTGCCAATTGCATTGCCAGGCAATAGCAAATGGGGCAAGTGGCAAGTGGAGGGTAACAAAAGGGGGGGGCAGCAGTGGGGCAACTGTTATTGATGTGCTTTTAATTGAGGTTTGTGTGCGAGTGTGCGAGTGTGTGCTGGCATCTCAGGCAACACATGTCCCGTTCGCATGTCTCGCATCTCATCGCATGTCAAATCATTTAACTCATAACGGACATTTTATTAGGATTTCAGGAGAACAACACTTACCGGCATTTGTGCTATGTGCCAGGCAAATCAAAATGGCCAAATTGATGGACCAACAAAAAATGCCAGCTAGTCCTCCGGCTGCATATTGTGTCCGTGCTCGTCGTCGTCGTCCACGTCGTTGTTGATTATTTTTGCAATTTTTGCCAGGCATTTGCCGATTTGTTTCCATTTCGATAACGTTATTGGAAATATCCAAATCCAGGCTGTGCCTCAGCCGCGTTGACGCCACATATTCCTCTGTGGCCGTTGTGTGCATCTTGTTGCTGCAATTTCATAGAATTGTTGAGTCTTAAATATTTCGTTAAATTTAAATAAAGCAGCCCCGGCTCAATCGTGTGGCTCGAAGGAAGTGTCCACCCGCTGGGCCAGACGAGCTCCGAGTGACCGCTAGGCATAATTTTTCTGTAAGTGCAGCAAGTTTTTTGCATCGTTCTTAATATATGCAGTCAGTGCAAAAGTTTTAGCACTAAAACAGAAAAAAAAAAACGCCAGCAAAAAGAATTCAACTTTGTGCCGCAAGTTTAAGTGACAAATGGAAAAGGGTCAACAGAAAACTGCTAATCGAAAATTGAAAGCGACTTGGAAAATTAAAGATGAAGAGCTCACCCCGAGAAAAAATAAGTTTTTCAATTAATTTATCATTTAGCTGTTTGAATATGTAACAAAATCATTTTTCATAATTTATCTGCCTGTCAATAGAAACAATAAATTGTTAATTGCTTTTTTATTGCGTAGTTTTTTTGATTTGATTATTTGTTTGCATTTAAATAAATTGATTTTTAACTTTTTTTCTACTAGATAATTAATTATTATTTTATTTACAAATGTTTAAAAATCCTTATATTTTTTATGCGTGTGTTGAGAGAGTACTCTCAGTTTGTGCTCTTCAACTTTTCAATTCAATTTTTCTACTATTATGTTTTTTTTTTTTTTTTAATTTTATTAAACAGCTACCAGAAACAATTTAGCAAAAAATGCATTTTAATTTCCTTTAATCAAAACAACAAATATAATTTATAAGTTTTGCTTAGTTTCCTGAATTTTTAGAATTTATTTGCGAAGCGATCGCAAGGCGTAAATTGAATTATAAATTATTTTTTGCCAACAAATATGCATACCCTTTGTTTGTCAGTTTTACAAATGGGGTATCATAAAAATATGATCATATAATGCACTTTTTAATTTAATCTTTGATTCGTGGCAAATAGAGAAAGTGAAAAATGCCGGATTCAAACCTTCTTTTTCACAATTATAACTAACATTTAAAATCTGCTTAGAGGGTGTCGTCTAGTCGAGCTGTATACTCCTATCTAAAAAAAAAAAAAAAATCAGATAAAATTAGCAGACAAATTGACGAACAACTTTTGAGCAACAACTTGAAACACAGAAAGAAATAAAATTAAATGATGAAATCATATTGCCGCATGGAGGTTCGCATAAATTTGGAATTGTAATTTGCTTGTCAGAAATGAATGGCACCTATTTCAATTCAGTTGCTTCTGTTCAGGGATTCCCCGAGTGCCACAAACGACAGACTCTCGGCAAAAAGTTGACATTATTTAGATTAATGAACAGCAAACAATTTGTCTGGCGGCCTCGCGCAGCAGATTCACTTGTCAGAATGCGTTTTCAGTTTCAGTGAAAATTGTATATGAATGAATGCCTGACTGACAGAGTGAATGAGCGAATGAGTGCATGAATGAGTGAATGTGTGATTGAATGTGTGCCTGTGCAGCAGATTGTGCTGCCATCAATTAGATGAGGCGGGAATCAACTCATGTCATCGACGGGAGAACAATGCAAAAGTTGTACAAATTAAATATTAATTAGTGTGGCGTGTGCATTAAATTTAATTAATGCTTTTTACACCTTAGGTGTTAATTATTTATTTTTATTCCCAAGTGTCGTCGACAACAGAAGCTGCTTATTTGAGTGAATAATTACGTACAGTGCACAAACAATGCAAAATACTAATACATCATCCGGGATGTGTCAACTGAGGCGTCTAGCCAAAAATACTTAAAACTATAAATGTTGAATCGTGTTTGTGGCAACAAATTAAATAAAATTATCCTATTATAAATATAAGTAATATAAGCACGACTTTGACTTAAGTGGGCATATTTAATGCCCTTGTAGGATATTTAATATCCTTGTCTTGGAAAATATCAGCATCTAAGAACATATTATTACCTTATGGGCTCGCACAACTTCTAAGCAGGCTGAGTTTGATGAAAATGTATTGGAAATCAAAATATTTATATAAATAAATAGAACTAACTATTAAAAGCAAATTGAAGATGCTTGGGAAAGTGTTTGCCAAAAGTAAAGAACTTTCGATAATTAAAAACAAGTAGAGTAGTAATAAGGACCGTACTCCAATTTATGTGCTACTTACAATCGAACTTTGAACTAAGTTAGTTAGTCAACATAGATTAGATTAGGTGTAAAAACTAGATTTACAGGCCGAAATTTGGTTTGTGGCTTAAATTCAACCCTCGACAGTTTATTTGAATATTGTGTAGCCCTTAGTTAAGCACACAATTTATTAGATCAAAATATACGCTGTAAATTTTGAGATTTACATCAGAAAATTTGAATCAACGATCAGTTGCCGGCTTGCTCGCAAATCGATAAATATCGATTGAATATCCTTGTTATCGGAATCATAATATTATAGAAACTTATAGAAACTTGTTGTGCTGACACCGCAAATGTCTATTAAATAAAAAAAAAAAAATAATTGAAATGAAACATTTTCATTTTCCAGAGTATGTCATGAGAAACGAAGTCTCCGAGACAAAAACCATACGAAAATTAGTGTTAATGTTAAAAATTTTATGTTTAAGAAAACATTTGCTTTTAAATTTTGGTAAAGAGAAAACAAAAAGAAAAAAGAAAAAAAAAAACTGACACATAAACTAGGAAAACTAGATTAAAAAAGAGAGAAAATTTTTCAAGCGTGTAGAAGAGCAATTTTTTGGAAACAGTTGACCCTTGCTTTTATGATCGTACAGATATTCGAATTAGTTTATAGAATTTCTCATTGTGCCGGCGGTACACATTTCGACAACAACTCGACGAGAGCTCAAAATTCATACAAAAACCTATTTTCTTCCCTCAAACTGTATTCTTAAAAAAAAAAAAAACATAATTTAATCAAAAAATAAAAAAATAAAAAAAAAATGCCAAGACCAACAGGTAAATGAGGATGAAAAATAAGTTTTAAATGTGAGTAAAACATTTTTTTTTGTTTTTTTTTTTTTTTTGCTAGGACCTGGACCGGCTGCCTACACCTTGCCAAGCACATTCGGCTATGAGAAATGCGACGCACGCATGCGCCGTGGTCCACAGTATTCGTTTGGACGGAAACCTTCGATGCCGGCCTTCAAAAAATCTGGTCCTGGACCCGCTGAATACCAAATCGGGCAGATAACGCGATACGGCAACGCCAAGGGACTCGAGTTCTCCATGCTGCCACGGGGACAGCTAAACAGACCCAATTCGGTGCGTTACGAATGATACGGCGGCGGCGGAGTAACCGTTCCGGGGAATTAAATGGGGTTGACGTGACGAGTCGGAATGTGCAGGGATTAGATTTGTTGTGAATCATCAGTGCATATAGTGTAATAGTTACAGTCTATCGATATATGGTGCCAGGACTGGTTCTAACCATTCTGGGGCAAATAAAATCATGATAAACAAAAAAAAAGTGTTCACTGTCAACTATTGTCGCCTAAGGTTAAGGCTGTGGCGGGTCGGAGGGCAAGTGTTCTGATCATTCAAGTGCCACTTGGCAGATTTAAGAGCTTAAAAAGTGCACTCGAGTTGTTTGGCTTTGTGTCTGGGCCATAATGAAGCCGCCCGTGGCAAGCTCTTAAGTAACTTTGGGCTCCGACTTGACTGACTGATCTGAGCGGGGAGTCAACGTTTGCTGCGTTCTAAGCAAAAGCCTGTTATTTTCTGGCTTCTTGTAATAATCACACAGTAAACAGGCAGCTGGCAGCAGAGGGAACTGAGGGGGAGGCAGCTGCCTTTGGTCGTGAGAACGCAGCTGAAAGCAAAGAAAGGGCCACAGCTAACTGCCTCTTGGCTCACATTGTTGCCGCTGGCCGCAAGTTGTAATTGCAACGTCAACGTAAATGCATAGCACGAGAGCAGCCCAGGAATTTCACGGATGTGCGATGTGCGATGCGTGCATTTTGCAGATGGCCTCCTTGGACACTTGGACACACTTGGTTTTGGACTGGGTTTGAAAACTAGAGGCGCGACCGGGGCGCAGTGCAAAAACAGACTGAAAACTGACCATTGCCCAGTGCTGGACATCACGTACGCATCGCACACATACGCACATACACAAACACATGCACGAGCACGCGCACGCACACAAGCACACTGTGACAGGCGCACACTTAGAGAAAATATTCTTGTGTATTATATTTTACTATTTAGAAAAGTTTTTTGCAAACAAAAAACAAAATGATCTTTTGCAAGTTTAAGATCAGGATTTAATTACTTAAAAAAAAGGAATTTAAATACATCTAAGTATTTAAATTAGTTATTTATTTAATTTTTTATTATTTTTTCTTTATTTATTTTATTTTTTACTTTAAAGTCAAATGTTTTTGTAAAAAAATTGTGAATAAACACCAAACATTCTTCACAAAAGTAAATTTTATATTTTTTTTCAATTGAGTTGATCGAAATTTTAATTGACTCTAAAATGTTAGCGATAAAATGTGCTTAATGCAAGCATGAATATTACATTATTTTTGTCTCAGTGCACGCATTTGATTGCATTTTCGCTGGACTTGGCTGGCAGCGTCTTGCTCTTCCTCTGCCTCTGACTCTGCCTCGCTGCCTGGCTGCCTGGCTGCCTGGCTGGTTGGCTGCAGGGGCCGGAAGGGCGAGGCCAGCAGAACCTGAAGATTTATCTGAGCGCGTTTATTTTAATGTTACGTTCTGGCATCTTTTGCCTTGGCCTCTTCTCTTTGAGTTTTTGGTTGGCTTAAGCAGCCGCTTTCAATGCATTCAATGCCCACTGTCTTTGTCTTTATGGACGATGCTGCTGCTGCTGCTGCTGCTGTGGCAACATCATCATCATCCTGGGCGCTGTGGCATGCTTTGGTGCGTGGTACGTTGACCGCTTGGAATGTTGATTCATCTGCTGCTGGCAGCAACTTCTTTTATGACTCCACTTGCTCTTTATGTCAATCAGCAGCTGGAGAAGACGCAGCAGCAGCAGCAGCAGCAGCAGAAATGT